TCTTAACTCATTTCGTAAATAAGACTAAATCATCCTGAACCTCGGTAGGGCAGCACCCTTGGATCCATGTTTATTGGAACATTTTTAGTTATTTTACTTTATTTTACTGAAACACCTTGTATATTTGAACCAACCATTTCTCCCTTGAAGGTGGCACTACAGCTGAAGTTCCCCGATCTTTTTGACCACTTCGATGGGGATGCATCGAAAAGCAACCATCGATGCCAGAACGTGTCTTAAGGTCGATGTATCGATATTATCGATGCATCGATGCATCGTTTCTATCTCAACCTGCGGGTAATTAGGAAGTAACTGAACGAAGATAGAAACTAAGTGATCCTACTATCCTAATTGTGTATACTTGTCATCGGTATCGACTTTTCACTACCAGCTCGTTGTGCTTGTTCTCCCATTTTTTCAATCAAGTCGGACAAAGAAGAGTTAATGCCGGGTAGGTTCTTTCTGCTATCGTTCCACCACGGTGCTAAATTATTTTCCCTGCAAGCTGTCTGATTGGTGCCATTGTCAAATGACGAAATCGGAAGGAGTTTACGGGAAGTCTGGGTTTTAGCATAAGTTGCTTGTACTTGTGTGGCGGTCCACGAATTATTTATTCGTATTTGTGAAAAAATCAATTAAGGTATTACAGTTGCTTGATTGGTGACAACTTCCATGGAACGTAATTTGTCAAAAATGCTCTGCATTCAAAAATCGCATGATGATGGTATAGTATAATTTATTCGCACAATTCATTACAGTATAAAAGTTTAAAGAAGCTAGAAATAAGCTAGTAAATGAGAGACCCACAGGAAGGAATACTCCGTGTACTTGGGCGAATAGCATTAAATATATAAATAAGACTCAATAGTGTAACATATCACGTCCACAATATAAATTATTCATAACGGGTGGATGGCACTCACAGTTCGTTTAAAGGGTCACAAATATTGGAGAAGACACATTTAGGTTAGGCAATATAGGATACGATCACAATTAAAAATCAAACCAAAAATTGAATAACAGAGTATTTTTTAAATCAATTTCTTGATGTACCTGTATTCTAGGTATAGATAGGAGCCATTTCTTTAGCTCTTTTTTAAATTCATCCAAATTTCTAATAGGTACACTTGATTTCAAAAGGAATGACGCAGAACCTACGAACAATCACAACATTTATAGACAAGTGAAAAGTTTATCTTGGGACGGGATTCGAACCCTCGCAGCGCACGGCGACTGACTAGCGAGGCGTCTACCACTGCGGTCACCGGTGCTGCTCATAAGAAAGAATATGACTTGGATACAAAGATCTGATACGACTTTTTCACTGTCACACTTTGATTTAAAAGGGCATCATTATTAAAGATTTTCTCCATTTCGCCCCTTATATTAAAAAAAATATTTGGTAAATAGTGGCTATGTGCACTCACGTAGAGCCTTTTTGGCTTGCTGGGCTCATAACGGTCACCGCTATCAAACCCCTTCATTTCTGAATGTTATTAATAATTACTATTTACTAAGAAAATAAATCTCTACATAGATGTTATATCTGATGATTGTAGTTATTTGTATTCACTTTTTCCATTATTATAACAGCCTGAAAGTCATATGCTTCTGGGAAAATTGGAACATTTGAACATGAGTGGGAAACGAATGATGTGTTGACGTGCGAAGCATCTCTTGTCTTTGTCGGACTGTATGTGTAGCACCAACGCCCCTTTCCCACGCACCGCTCTGAGATTGTGAAACCTTTTATTCTGACAGGCTTGCTGGATGACAAGGGAATTTTCAATTAATCTACCATTAATTCAAATTAAATGGGCCTTTATGTCATAACACTGTTGAAAAATTCTATACATACCATGGTAGAGAAGGGCATTATATTTTCCTGGATGTTATGTAATGTACTATTAAGTATCTAGCGTGTTAAACGGGCGCTTGTGGTCCGTGGCGTGAAATTAGAGCTCAAGCGGTTTGAGCAAAAACGCGAGTATACTTAACCCAATATCACTTATATTAAGGCGGCAGAGGTTTCCGTTGCAACAACTTCATCATACCTAACAAAACACTCATATATGGTATGCGTCAATCTGCTTAGTCATACTTTTTGTAGAAGCAACACATTTTAACCCATCAACTATCAAACCCCAACATATAAATATTCAGCGACAGATGCGTTCTTGAAGTATTTAGGCCCCATTTTAATAATGATCCAGCGGATCAAAATTGACCAATGAGAAGGCATCTTTGTAGAAATGTATAATTTATTCACTGAATTAAAGAAGCTACGTCACAACGTCAAATAATGACAGTGACGCACATGGTTGCCACAACAATTAAAACTACTAGATGTCTTCGATGCCTTACTGCAACCAACATTACAAAGCGTATGATAGTAAACGCTAGAGCTAGTATAAATTCTATTTACTACCTAATACCTCTCTTACGGACTGCAAAGGCAATAATGAAGCAACAAGGTCTCGTTCGGTTTCAAAATATTTCGTCAAACAAATGACGAATTCTTCTGGTTGTCGACCCAGAGGTTTCGGCATTTTAGCAAAATGCTCAAAAGGTCATCTCAATGCTTTGAAAAAGTTTGTTTTTATACAATAACATTGTAAATATTAAGGCAAAAAGAACAAAAATAAACCACAAATAAACAACAGCCGTTGGCCTAATTACCTCGCAAGCCTTGCGACAACGTCACAACACAGAAAACCGTTACCAACATAAATGTACCGGGGAAATTCAAACTATACGTACGAATTTAGGATCTATCTTACTTTGAGGTTGGCATTCAAATTTACTGAATATGACGTAAATGCTTTATTTCAGTGAATAAACTATAGGATATCAAATGAATATAGTCGATTTCTTATCAAATACGTATGTGTCAACATAGCGAAAAAAATATACGATATGTGTAAGAAGTAAATTATCTGGTTTAGCTACAAATGAATATTTTTTCACTTGATCCGGAAGTGAAAGTCTGTGATCAACAATGACCAATTAGAAAGCGTTTTAGTAAAACTGGATAAAAAATCGGAAACAAGTATCATAAGCCCACCTTGTAGATGACCAAATTCAAAACAAACATAAACACCAAATAATATTGAAAAAATTATATATCGGCTGTCAGTTAGGTGTAGATTTCAAGAAACTGATCAATTATCTTCCATAATCACATGTTTCTACTGCTGTGCCCAATCCGCATGTCGTCCTTCAAGGTAAATAGAGATGTTTCTGGTTAAGAGTTATTTCAAACACCTTTATCTGGCTTAGACGAATATCTACTGTTGCTTTTGCTTTATAACAAATTATAAAAAATGTTAGAAACTAGATAAGAAATTATACAATAAATAATAATATAAAGTTTGCAGAATGTAAAATTGAAACCGTTCTTTCTTGTGCTTCTATGTTGGCTAGAGATGGGGGTGTGTATTCAGATAATAACAATATTCGAATACGCATTTCGAGTTTACTAATTTGTAATACAATAACAATTATAATAAATTATAAGGATATTTATGATAATCAATGCAGGTCAATGACATTAAAGCTAAATTTGCCCTACTACAATGAGCAGACCCATTTTATTTTATACAACATAGGTATTCAATACTGGTTAAAATTACAATTGTCAATAAATTTTAAGCTATGATAAGGACAAACGATCAGAAAAAACTAACATTATCATTATTTGAATTTTTCTTACGATATTCCGTTTTTTCAAATACTGGGGTAATCGAAATGTGAATTCGATAAAAATACACAAACGTCATTGTTATATGACACGATAAATCAGTACAGGTAGTATCGATATATAATTATCGACTACAATGCAGCTGCACCCTAACTAACACTTGTGAATATTTAGGAGCGCATCATCTCAGCCCCATCTCATTAGTAGTATTCGTTTTCCTCTACTATTGACAGTTGATACATTTGTAGTGTTACCAAGCTAATAACAGTACCTGAAGATGAGTAATATGTATTAACACTCAGAGGTTTGTTTCTTTAACATATAGTAGTTAACCTGAACTTTATTTTTCAATTCAATTAAAAGAGTCGAAATGGAGTGTATGTTAATTGACCAATCTAACGTTTATTTTGTGGATCTATCGCGATTTCAGCCTCACGACTTATCGTTGAACAATTTGATGTGGTAGTACTAGACAGTACTGTGACTAGACAGCTGAGCTGAAGAAACGCACAAAGCCAGTTCTGGTTTCAAGTATAATAAAGATTTTACTGTGCCGTTCCTTTTCCCCAAGAAACGTACATACGTCATATGCATACTGAAATAATTTTATTAAAAATATGATTACAACAGCTTTGAATAAAGTTCGAGCACACACAGAGGATATGTGTGCCAAAGTGAGGTTTATATATCTACAAATTACATTAGACGGTAACTTAATCGACTATTGACACATGCATTTCTAAAAAGATATTCTTTTTTTCTAAATTTATCACTATCAGGTAAGTAATACACTGTACTTTTCAATAAAGCGCTCTGAAATTGGTGTCATATCAGGTTATATCAGATTTGATCCACGATTCGGGCAGGGATTAAAGGGTCCTCCCCGATTGGTCAATTGTTGATCCAGTTTTACTTAAACGCTTCCCAGTTGGTCGCTGTTGATCCGGATCAAAGGTTTTGATCTCCAGATCCAGTGAAAGAATATGTTTTATGTTTTTGTAGCTAAACCAGGTGATTTATGAAGAATGTTTAGATTTAATATGGGGACTAGAGGCGCTCCTTACACCAATCTTATACTTTTTTGCTAGTTTGAGAGATATTTTAGAAAAAAATCGACTACATTCATTAGATACAATACTAGAAAGATGTGTTCTCATTGGTGCTTTTTGGTCCGGATTGAGAATTTTGATTTCCTGTTAGTAAAATCGGGCCTTATTGGTTTTAATAGAAACCTCCGTTATTTTAGACAGCTTACAAAATAATGGTGTTTGATCTTAGACAGTCTGGAGTAAATACTCACCCCCCTTATCACTGAACTGTCCCGATCCCCTTCTGCCATCCTCCCCCACGCCTTGCGTTGACCCACCTCTTTCTTGAGCTTTCCTGCGTTTCCTGCAATCATCTCGTCTTCCTATGCACTGCATTCGTAGTACCAATGCTACAACAGCTGCTACAATCGTTAGTGCTGAGACGATTCCTATCAGGACACTCAAAGTTGGAGTGAAGCGTAGGCCTCCAATGCTATTACCTCCAGGACCTCCAGATCGATGAGTATCTGGATAAGTGAAGGAAACATAAGTAAATATGTACTAAGAAGAAGGTGTCCCAAATTCACGAACGATCATAATTGAGTATAAATCATAAGTCTGTTAAAATATTGTCAAGGGTGATACAGCTTACACTACTACCCACGAGAGTTCAACGTGAGAACAGATAATAGCAGATCATTAGGTGACATCGGGAAGTGACAGGCGTACCTCTACTTCGTACTATTTAGTAACGTCAGTGGTTCTGTGTGAGTTTATTTGCAAAGATTAGTTAGGAAGGTTTTGGTATACAGGGTGATGCACAAGTCGTGACTAAAAATGAAACATCATACATAGGACTGCATTTGGCTGAACTACACTAAAGATTAGGATGTAACTTGTACGAAAATATAATTTTTTCTTTAAGGAAGCCGATTCTAGTTAACAACTTCAAAGTTGCATTTTGGCTGATAATACTGTGTATAGAATACTGCTTTATAAGCTAGTCTGTTCTTGTTTTCACAATATAATGCTCAAAATTATATGATATAGCTTACACTGAATATTATTGTGATACTATTCGTCGCAATAATGCAATTTTGCATTATTTGAATGATGAAAATAGATCACTGTTAAGTAGTCATTTCTTTTATTTCAGATTAATATTCCCATCACTACCCAACTAACACTATCATGATTTCTCTATCTAGTAGCGATGTTGCCAAATCATGGATAATAATATACCTTGATTTGGTTTGTCAAATCCTTACTCATACAACTAGAGCAAAAATGTGCAATCGGCACAGGATTGCTACGAAAATTCGATTTGGAGGTGTGGCCGGCACGTTTTATTCTACTAAATTCACCTCGTGTCCTACAATAATATTAGCTAAAGTCACTTTTCTGAAGAGTGCCGTATGTTTTTCACAAACATACTTCGGTTATTGGTTTTCCTATATTATAGTTATAGTCTATTTACTTTTTGTTTGTATGTTCTTGAAGAATTATTTAAAGTGAAGCTCGTGTCACAAAATATACCTAAATTAATGTGATATACCTATATATGAGAAATTATCAAAAAAGTAGCTGTAGCCAATCACTAAATAATGAAAACATAACAAAGAAGAACATTGCAAGTTTTTTGATGATTTGATGGAATGGTCGTTGATCTCTATTTAAATATACTGTTGAGCGATTATATGTTGGGTCCAAATCGACCAATCGAAGTTGAGTATTTTTATATGCACTGACCGTTGGTGCCTTTTGTATTTTTGTCACGCGAGCCGCTGGTGCATTTTCCACTGTTTCACATACTGTTCAAAATTTTATCTAATTTTCAGTAAATATAGGGACAACTTCTTATAAAACAAGCCACTTACAATAAATTAAGACTTTTATTTTACAAATAACCTCATTTTTGTATTACGCATTTCTCAAAAAAAAGTACAACTTGGCAAACACTGGACAACATTTATCCTATCTGTCAAGAAGCGAACGTTATAAAATGGCCATCGAGAATTGTTTGCATTATAAAATATTTCTTTTAAACGCAAAAGCTTTGATCTCATTGAAAATACACGAGAAAAATATTGTTAAGGAATTTCAGGAAGACATTGAAAAATCACTACTCAACACCTCTACACAGTTTTCCAAGTAAATACCATTATTTACGGTATGAATTTTGAACTGTTGTTTTAGCTTATTACACGGCTAGTTTTAACCTTTGTTTGCAAAAAACAACGATTTTTTATAATTTTACATCTATTTTTCTTACAAAATAATTATTATTACTGACTTCAATTCTCTCCAAAAAAACGGGAAATTCTGCTTTTATGCGCCAAAGTACTGTCTAACCATCATTTAAGGTATGTATTAGGAACTGTCATTTTAACTTATTATACGGCTGGTTTTTAACCTTTTTATTTGAAGAACCAACGATTTTTAACAGTTTCACATCATTTTCCTTAGTACTGTACAGTGTATGTTATATTCTTATAATGTAGAGCATTTTTTTGTGCAAAAAGCCTAAAAACCCGGGGTATAAAACAGTATTCTATTCTAGAGTATTACCGCCAAAAATGCAAATTTGAAGTTCTATGAAATAGCAAGCAGAGGGTTCCTTGAAGAAAAAATAATATTTTCGTAAAACTTACATACTCACCTTTTATTCTGAAATAAGAAATGGAATATTTGCAACATGCGCTAAAGTATAGTCTTATCCCGCATTTTGAGGGGGAGGGTCTTCTATGTAACATTTTTTGCTCTGTCTAGAGCTTCATTAAAAAGGTACGAGGTGTTGAAGTTTAAAAATAAAAAATAATTTTTCTAATATCTTCAAAACCGTCAACTGGAATTAACTAAATGTTGGTAGGTGGATTTACCTAAGTATTGTCAACATTGAAAAGTCTTTACTTAAAATTAACATGCACCAGTGGCGGAGATTCAGGGGATTAGTGGCATTATTTTTCCAAATAAAAATAGTATCTACGCCACTGTTTTTTTCGAAACGCGCAATATTTCGAATTAAAACCTTCAATTTGCTATAAACTATGGATCTTTTTAATCAAGCCCTCGAGGAAAAATGTTACACAGAAGAGCCCCCTTAAAATGCGGACCTTTCTATGATGTTTCATTCTTGGTCACGACTTGTGAATCACCCTGTATAAAGGGGCACTTACATAGACGTCAGAATGAGCTGTAGTATCATGGTAGATAGTGTAGGCATGTTTTATGTTTGCAGAATGTAGCTTCTTTATCACAATTTACCAGAAGGGAGAATGACTAGTTTGGTTGAAAAACTATCCAGGAGTTATATTCTTGTTACAACAGATCATGAAAATATGCTTTACCCTTTTCGGCAGTCAGTTGCTTTTCAGGCAATCGTAGCGTAGCAGCTTGTAGAATGACAGGCTCTCCTCGTCCTTTGGAATTGTAGGAAAACACGGCTGCCTGATACTGTGCTCCAGCTTCAACGTTTTTGACTGTGAATCTCGCTACTGGAGATGTGAGGTTACTTTTCAGTTCCTGAGTTTGACTTTCTCTCACCTGTAATAGAAAAATATTTTCATCCGCTGTGGTAAGTCAAAACCTTGTAACTTCAAGTATCATGAACTCCGAGCAAGAGGCTCATATTCGTTAATAAGCGAAGGCCCAGATTCGCACCTAAGGATAGGTACACATTTTCTGATAAGTTAAATACTTCGATGCTGATACCGGTTTATAAATAAGTTTTGGCCAACCACATCCTCCTATACTGTCACAGATTGCTTGAAATATCGATTATATTAATTTAATTGCTTAATTGATTTTGACGATATCCTCTTATAGTGATACAGATTCTTCGATAAGCTTCGATTATTTTTTGAAGTCTTCTATACAGGCCTTCTCACGGTTTTTGCCGGATACATGATTGATGTCATATGAAAATAAGTAAATACCATGTGCCGATTTTGGGTAATAAACGGACCGTTGCTTCCATTCACCTTCCAATAAAATCAGCAAGTGCACATACCATCTACTAGTGTTTCCAGGCATTCCTATGAGTTATATTATAAAGATCAGTAGAAACTAAGTTCAAATCGTATGCCCACGACTAGTGGGTTGTCACACTGACAGGTGAGAAATACTCATACATTGGCAAGAAAGTTTTGTATGTATGTGGGAGGTGGATGTATGAAAGTGATACTGGTAGTCTTGCCCTGATCACTTAAAATCCGCGGAAAGAACATTCTCTTGAATATTTTGTGGGAGATTTATACCGGAATTTCCTATTATTACGCGGGTTCCCCAATGAAATTTGATCACTGCGATTTTCCTGTACTAGTACATCAATGAACTCTGAAAACGAATTTGATATTGCCACCCCAATTCTAATTATATCGATTCGTTGGCTGTTCGCGTAGCATAATTAGTGTCTACACTTTTCTGGGAATTGAAATCAATGGCATAGCTCTAACAACCGTGAGCGTAATTCTCTTTTCGGAAAGTGGTTGAAAGCTACATTTCGTTGACCCTAATGCAGGTAGGTATATCAGTGACACTGGAAGTGTTACACACAGAAAAAATTATTTTTTCAACTTTTTGGCAACATAATGACTATTTGAAGCATGCTGTTGCAATAATGTCAACATTATATCTTTGTTTTTGTTTACCTTTGCTAAAATGTTATCTCTTAGTTTTTGTGAAGAAATCAGTTTCTGAGAGCTGGCTTGACAGATATTTTTATTTATTGCCCTTTCATTTACTACATGACAAAATGCCTCTAGTTCAAAAACGTCAAAGTTATCACCGTGTTAGTGACTTTGACAGGGGTAGAAAAATTGCCTATCGAGATGTTGGTTCGTCCTATCGCGAAATTGATCGCCGTGTTAATTGTACTGCAATGACGGTAAAGCGTCTGTGTCGTGTGCGGATAGAAGAAGGTAGAAGAGCACTGAGGAGGCCAACTGATCCACAGCGCGTCAAGATAGGCGCTTCAGGCAACTAGCCCTACGAGACCGATTTGCTACTACTCGTCAGATCGCTGACCAATGGTTTGAAGAAGAATGTAGACCTGTTACTATACGCTTTCAAGCCTTTGGACTTTTCTCATACTGTCCACGGTTAGTGCTTCCTCTAACTGCAGACCAGTGTCGCCAACGTTTGAACTGGAGCAGAGAACGGCAACACTGGGAGGCAGAATGGCATAATGTCATCTTCAGCGGCGAATCGCAATTCTGTCGAGGGATGTACGATGATCATAGAAGGGTAAGACGACGTGGAGAGCATCGTGACATTGGATTTGCTGATGAGAGATATGTACACAGGACTGTTGGAGTAATGGTTTGGGAGGCTATTACCTATGGTAACCGATCACCTATTCTCTTTATTCAAGTCAATATGACTGCTACTTCTTATGTTGATGATGTCCTACAAATCTCTTTACTGCCGTATCTAGTGGCGTCATTTTTCAGCAAGACAACGCATGTCTCCATATTACTCGACGTACTAAGGACTTTGTTCATGAAGCAGGCGTTAATGTTTTGCCGTGACTTTATTCAAATCCTATCGAACATGTCTAGGATATGATGGGGAGGAGACTATCCTCTTTGCACCATCCACCACAGACTCTGCCACAGCTTATCCACGAAGCTCATGTTGCTTGGAATGAGGTGCCACAACCGATCATCTCATTTTGTCTATGCCTAGACGTATACAGAAGTTTATTCAGCTGCGGGGTCGCCCATCACATTATTGACTTTTTTCTTATCACTTGTCAATAAAATTTAATGAGAATGTCATTCTTGATATAAGACTACCTCATTGCCAAAAAATCAAGTTGAAGAAATTACTTTTTTCTGGGTGTAACACTTCTAATGTCACTGAGCATATTTTAAATTTTGAACCTTTTCAGATTGGTCACAATATTTTTGCGTTAAGGCAAAATAATCTAAATTGATCCGTTAGATGGACTAGGGATTACCGGACTGATGACAGATGGACGACTGATAGGCAGAACGTTATGATGCATCATTAAGTGTCACGATATTGATTTATTCCAGGACTACAATACTCCCTTCGTTTATTGGCGTGTGACACAAACTTACAGGTCAACAATTACTAAAATATACTCTTACCTCTAATAAAAAAGATTGCGGCAGTCCACCATTGAATCCTTCAGCACACCGGATGGAAAAAGACGTCATAGATATGTTCAACACGGTGCAGTTGTGAACTTGATCTGGACGCCCTAAAACAAGAATTGGAATTTAAAGAAATGATTGTCATTTCATTACAACGCTTTCATTAGCTTGACCTGTATATATGAGTATGTGTGTAACGGATGTTTCAACTGGAGTTTCGCCAGTTTCAAGAAGTCCGATTAAGGGCCGATGACAAGACAATAAACATTGAAGGAAATTCCAATTTGAAAATTTCAAAAAAATTGGATATTGAAATTTGGAAAAAGATTTGGAAAAATTGGCAATTTTCAAAATATTTAGAAATTCCGAAATTTTTATATAAACAAATCAAACTAAAATGCAGATAAATATTTTCAAGTATGGGACAGTTTGCGTTACTGCAATAGAGAGTCCAACAACCCAGTGGGACTCATTAATTTGGAATCAGCTAAACTTGATTGTTGAACCTTCTGTTGCAGTATTTTCTACTTTTTAGTTCGATTTGTTATTAGAGTGTCTTTTTTTAGATTCTTAAACTATAATTTATTAATATCGAACTACTTGGAAGAAGTATGATTTATTTGTGTAACAAATGGAGATACAGGGTGTCAAAGTTACAATTTTATTTTCTATTTTTCCTTATCGCTTAATTTCAGATTTCGGCATAAAACTTGGTATAGGGAGGTTTTCTAGTATAAGAAACAAGAATCCGTTATTTTTTATGGCCAATCTTCTGGAGGGCGCCACTTACAGCACTATTTCGGTAAATAACTTATCTTATTTGTGCTACCCTGTATACAACAACTGACGAAAAAATCTTAATTTACCGTATTTCGACAACAAAAAAGATTTACTTATTATAAGTGTCTACAGATATTTGTTGTTAAAAGTTCCAACGCATTATTTGTGATGATTGTTAAACATTTTTATAACACAATAATCAAGTTGCTTTGGGTAATATCTGAGTAGCGTTGCTATGGTTTTTAACAATAACAAATGAGGATGGCAACAAAACTAATAAACGGAAATAAAAACTACAAAAATTGTTCAAAATGAACACCACCATGCCTAACACACTCTCGAGCTCGATGAACTAATCCTTGCTGCACTCTCCAAAGCATTTGGATTTTATTTTTCATTTCCTGGCTCTGGTGAAAAATTCTTTGCCGAAGATCATCTACAGATTCCACTGGCGTATTGTAAACGCATCGTTTTAAATCACCCCAGAAGAAGAAATAGATAGGATTTAAATCTTGTGATCTAGCCGGCCACGATACAGGTCCTGATCGGTCTATATACTGGTCTGGATAAACTCTATTTAAGTGCTCTCTAATTAATATACTAAAATGAGGTGGAGCGCCGTCGTGCATAAACCGCATGTTCATGCGTGTTTGTAATGGAGGACCATCCAGCAGAGTGTGTAATTGTTCTTCAAGAAATTGTAAACACCTTTGGCCATTTAGTCTAGGTGGTAACTCAGCAGGTCCTATTAAATATTGTTCAATTACTCCTGCCCATAAATTAATTTGAAATTGTACTTGGTGGCGGGTTTGTATTATTGCATGAGGATTTTCGTCTACATAAATGTGAAGATTATGCGAGTTAATGGACACATCCCTTCCAAATCCTGCTTCGTCCGAAAATAATATTAAAGAAGTAAAACCATTGTCGCGGTTAAACTTTCTTAAGTGCCATGTACTTTTTGCAGGTGGTATGGGTGGAGCACTTGCTCTTGAAAAATGGTATTTACTGTACATTTAGAAACTTGAAATTCTTGAGCTACATTCCTTACCCCAACTGTAGGATTTTCAAAGACAGCGTCTAAAACATTTTCTTCAACTTCAGCTGTACGTAGGTACAGTTCTGGGAGTTCCACTATGTGTGCGCAGAGAGGGAGAGAGAAAAGATACACCCATCATCTTTGTCTAAGTTGTGCCCTTACGTTGAACATTATTGAGTGACATTGTCGCACCACACAACCCGCGTGCATAAATGCGTTTTAAAACGTCATTTGCTGGAACTGCCGCCGCCGCTAGTCTGTTTGTACCCTCAAAAATTTATGATAGACCGATAAAAATACTTTGCTATTGCTTTTTTATGATCTCTAGAGTGCCAAGAAAGCTACAGTTGATGCAAGTAGTGTCACAATCAAGTGTAGGATCACTCAAGAAATGCTTACGTACAAAGTGCTACTTTCTGAAAATCGCTTATTCCATATTATATAGGATGTCCGCAAAGTTGTGTCTTTCCTTTACACGGCATATACAGGGTTATCCAAATTAAGTGTCCACCATTAGTAACTTTGTTATTAGTGAAAATACAAAGTTGTTTGAATTAGCAAACTAGTAGCATTTTTAACGCTGGTAAAAATGAGAAATAAAAAAAAACAATTGAGAGTCGTTATTTTGATTTTTTTCAGTAAAATAACATTTTTTTAAATGGAAACCCCTGTATATTATATTTTTTTCTGTTAAAGCATCAAATTTTAAACAAAAAAGCTTACAATAACTTTTCTCCTAGGTTACAAATTGTTGAAGTTATGGCCTCCAATCTGAAACAATTAAATTGTATCGACAAACTTTATTTTCAACATCAACTTATAATCTTACAAAATACCTACCATCTATCTGGGTTATCTTTTCCCTAACTGCAGTCTTTAACGCGTCAAGGTTATCGTACCTTCGCTTGTAAATTTGGTTCTTTAAGTAACCCCACAAGAAGTAATCAAGTGGGTTTAGATCTGGTGATCTGGGAGGCCACTGTATTGGGCCATTTGTTCCTATCCACTGATCATTAAAAGTAGTACTTAGAAAATGATAAGTAGGTACCTCTGGAGTTGTGGGCAGGTGCGCCATCTTGCTGAAAATGCAGATGATGTCTACTTATAAGATCCAATTCGTCTAAGAAATTAGTCAGAATTTCTGACATAAATTCCACATATCTTTCACCAGTTAGGGTTCCCTCATAAAAGAACGGGCCAACAATTTTTGAACCAATTATACCGCACCAAACGTTGAAACTGAAACGGACTTGTGGGCCTCTTGGAAGTACTAACAAAAGATTTTCTCTTGACCAATAATGGCGGTTTTTTCTATTAAACATTCCAGAATTTGAAAAATTTGATTCATCTGTCCATAAAAGGTAACGAAAGTTATTTACATTTTGGCGACAGAAGCTAAGATACCAATGGCAAAAAACAAGTCTTCTCTCTGGATAACCTGCCAAAAGCGTTTGAACTGGTCGGTACTTATACGGAATAAATTTGTATTTTTTTAAAATCCTTTGAACAGTACCATAACTGAAATTAGAGTCCTTGAGAATATCTGCTATTGAATTCTCACGATAAGCTTCAAAATATCCAATAACTGCAATTTCCGTGGCCTCGCTTATTATGAATTCTTTTTTTGCCCTTGTTTTAGCAAAAACATTTTCGTTGCCCCTAAATTTTCGATAAAGTCTCAGAAAATATCGTTCATACGGTTGAATGCGAGCGGGATATAATTCACTGTAGTATTCTCTTGCTCTCAAGGAGGATTTTCTGCACACTAAATAGCATTCTAACATATCACACTTTTCTTCATGGGAGAACATTTTTCTTTAAATTAATGACACAATAAAGCTTATAAACAAGTATTTACACTAATGTTTGACATTATTTGATTTTATCATTGTTTTCCAAAGCCTTCTAGTTGCGAGTATGTCCAGTTTAACAATTTGTCGCTTATCTTAATGCTGTCAAATCGCGAACGCCATGTTGTTTTCATAGCCGTCTTAATATTATAATACTGCAAATAATTAAAAATATTTATCGTTATTTTGACTTTATTTTTGACTTTAGCGGAAAAGTCATTATGAACTTTTTTGTTTAAAATTTGATGCTTTAACAGAAAAAATATAATATACAGGGGTTTCCATTTAAAAAAATGTTATTTTACTGAAAAAAATCAAAATAACGACTCTCAATTGTTTTTTTTTATTTCTCATTTTTACCAGCGTTAAAAATGCTACTAGTTTGCTAATTCAAACAACTTTGTATTTTCACTAATAACAAAGTTACTAATGGTGGACACTTAATTTGGATAACCCTGTAGATTAAAAACGCGTTTTTCCCTAATAGCATATACACCAAAGTTTTAAGGTAACCCAGATATTAGGATCCGCAAAAGCAACTGAACCTAAAGAAGACTTACGTACTATACAACGATAGTACGTCTATCTCTTTTGTATGACTTCCTGGCTTGGTCGCCTTGAATTGGAACCGAGGCAACTAATGCCAAGCTGAGCTGTGCCTTTTTGAATCCTGTCAAGGCTCACACTTCCATCTCATCCTTCTGAGCAGGGGTGGTCCGTTTACCCCTAAATTTCACTTCCACCGCAAGTTTGATGTGGAGTATTCGCCGAGGGCGGAATGGCACTCTGGAAGCCGGACTCTTTGGGCCTAGAACTAGGCTATCTCGGCGGATACAGCACTATTTTCCAGGTGGAAATCTACACGTTTTTGGCTTGCGAATACCGTATTTTGGAGGGGGAAGGGCCTAGGCGCAAAATAACAATTTCTCCAACAGTCAGGCTGCGATGAAAGCACTAAGCGCCTGCAAGATTTCTTCGATCCTTATATTGTAATGCAGGGAGGCTCTTGTTAGTCTAGCAGCGAGGCTCCTGCCCTAAGGGTGCCCGCACAAAGAGTCAGGAGGAAAATGGAGAAGTGGATTGCTAGACATTACTATCAGAAATCTCCGTCAGGCATGGGAATTTATTGTAGGGCTCAGTGTTAAGGATGGACGGTTTTGCTTATCTTTAGATAGAGCCAACCTCAGGTTGTTGTCTGGGCATAAGACCATGAGGCACCACCTGCATGTGATGGAGGTGACCGAGGATCCCATGTGTGAGCGCTAGAGGAAGAGTCCTCGTGGCATGTTCCGTGTCAGGCTCTGGCTACTAAGGTCCAACGCATTGGATCCCTAGAATGTTAAGGAGCTGGGAATCAGGGCTATACTCAAGTTTGTTCGAAGGGCGGAGGTCGAGGTTTAGGGAATGGTATGCCTATAATTTCATTATTCATTCATTC